TCTCTAGCTAGTATCAGGACAATCCACAACTGTAATTGGCCATTCCTTGTGTGTGACTTGTTATCGTCTTTCCTGGCCCTTTATCCCTGAAGGGGGTCCTGTCTCGTAAACAGAAAGTTCAGCAGTGACCCCATGTCCTGGGCTTGCTGTATCCATAGTCTCTCACAGATGGCCTTGGAGATTGTCAAATGGAGGGCCATTCTAGCCTCCCTGCTCCCTGGCCCTGTTAAGCTATTTCAGATCTTTGGACAAAATACTCACTTTTGTACTTTTACTTTTTTCACCCTCTTGATAAAATATCCCACAGCCATAGGGGAAATGGAAGTAGAATTGTGTGGGTGATGATGAGATTTTTGAAAGCAGAAGGTTTTAGAGCCTGGTGGAGAGGAAGGGCCTGTGGTTAATTCCCTTTGACTTTCCACCCCTTTGTTGGTGCCGTTGAGCTCATGCTTCTGGTTTCTGAGCAAGTGGCTCCATGGCCCATTTGCCTCTTGACCCCCTCCTACTCACTCTTCCTGGTGACGAAACTCTGAGACTTCCGTTCATTCACAGCTGTGGGGGAATTGCTGGGAGGAGGATCTCATGCCAATGAAATACTTTGCCCGGGTCCCTCATAGCTCACAGGTGATGTAAAACGTGTAAAAGCAGAGCTGCCCTGGTGACTGGAAGGTGGGAACCCAAGGCCCTCTCCTGGGTTGGGCCTTTGCCCCTTATCCCCAGTCCCTGACATAGCTCTGGAATTTCTAGACTGGTCCAGGGGATGGTTTGAAAGGTAGATGTGGGCCCGGCGTGGTGGCTTACACCTGTAATCCCAGTACTTTGGGAGGCTGAGATGGGCAGATCACGAGGTTGAGACTACCTTGGCCAACATGGTGAAACCTCATCTCTACTAAAAATACAAAAATTAGCCAGGTGTGATGGTGCGCGCCTGTAATCCCGGCTACTCGGGAGGCTGAGGCAGGAGAATCACTTGAACCCAGGAGGCGAAGGTTGTGGTGAGCTGAGACTGCACCACTGCACTCCAGCCAGGGTGACAGAGTAAGACTCCATCTCAAAAAAAAAAAAAAAGGCAGATGTGTGTGCAGGCCAAGAGTGCTGGCCTGAGTTTCCACGTTAGCCTTCTCAGAATTCCTGTTCCTAATCTAAACCAAAAATAAAATTTGAAGCCCCCCAACCGATTGATGGACCCCCTCTCATCAGCTAAGGGCATTCCAAAGTTAATCCAAAAAGCTAGTTCAGGCCATGATGGGAGGAGAGGTCGGACATGCCTCATTATACCCCCCTCCCTGCTGTAATTCAGGCACAGCTGACCAGCATTCACATTAAAACAGATCTTAAGACTGACAAGGTAGATTCTTTGTAGCAATAAGACACCAAATTCCAGGCTGACTCTGGTATAACATCACATGACAGATAGCAGGCCCTGAAAGAAATTGAAGAATTTTACTCCAAATTAGATTTCCGTGACTGCCAGGCATGGTGGCTCACACCTATAATCCCAGCACTTTGAGAGATCGAAGCGGGCAGATCACCTGAGGTCAGGAGTTTGAGACCAGCCTGACCAACATGGGGAAACCCTGTTTCTACTAAAAATACAAAAAAAAAAAAAAATTAGCCCACAGGGTGGCATGCACCTGTAACCCCAGTTACTAGGGAGGCTGAGGCAGGAGAATTGCTTGAACCCAGGAGGCAGAGGTTACAGTAATCTGAGATTGTACCACTGCACTCCAGACTGGGTGACAGAGCAAGACTCTGTCTCAAAACAAAACAAAACAAAAAATTAGATTTCCTTGACATATTTTTAAATGCCTCTGCAAAGCTGTCCCTTGTGGGGAAAATCTACATTCTGTAGAGAATCCCCATTCCTTTCCAATTATCTTCCCTGATCCAGGAGAGAAATAACTTAAGAGTCTGGCACCTATTTTTGGTCTGATAAGACCTCTGAAGCCTGCTACTTGGCCTTCACAACCCCTTATCTTAATCCAGACATTCCTTTTTAATGATTCCAGGTCCTTTTTTTTTTTTTGAGATGGAGTCTCGCTTTGTCGCCCAGGCTGGAGTGCAGTGGTGCAATCTCGGCTTACTGCAACCTCTGCCTCTCGGGTTCAAATGATTTTCCTGCCTCAGCCTCCCGGAGTTGCTGGAATTACACGCATGCATCACCAAGCCCAGCTATTTTTTTTTTTTTTTTGTATTTTTAGTAGAGACAGGGTTTCACCATATTTGTCAGGCTGGTCTCAAACTCCTGACCTCAGGTGATCTGCCTGCCTCAGCTTCCCAAAGTGCTGGGATTACAGGTGTAAGCCACCACGCCTGGCCTTTTTTTTTCTTTTTAATGATTCCAGGTCTTTAAATAACTCAATCAATTGCTAATCAGAAAATCTTTGACTCTATGACCTGAAAGCCCTGGCTTCCAGTTGTCCTGCCTTTCCAGACTGAACCAATGTACATCTTACACGTATTGACTGATGTCTTTTTTTCCTTTTTTTTTTCTTTTCTTTAAGAGATGGAGTTTCACCATGTTGGCCAGGCTGGTCTCAAATGCCTGAGCTCAAGCAATCCACTTGCCTTGGCCTCCCAAAGTGCTAGGATTACAGGCATGAGCCATCATGCCCAGCCACTGATTAATATCTTATTTTGTCTCCCTAAAATGTTTAAAACCAAGTTGGAGCCCTACCACCTCAGGCACATGCTCTCAAGATCTACTGATGTTGTCTTGGGTCATTGGTCACTCATATTTGGCTCAGAATAAATCTCTTGAAATATTTTACAGAGTTTGATTCTTCATTGACAATAATTTGACAACTGAACACACGAGGCCTCAGAGAGAACCCAGAACCCTGAAGGAGTTGCCTGAACTTGGAGCTAAGGTACCAACAGGGGTCCTTGAAAGCCCTCCCTGCAGATCACTTGAGCCCAGGAGTTCAAGACCAGCCTTGGCAACATGGGAAAACCTCATCTCTACAAAAATACAAAAATTAGCCTGGCGTGGTGGTGGGGGCCTATAGTCCCAGCTCTTCGGAGGTTGGGGCAGGAAGATTGCCTGAGTCCAGGGAAGCCAGGGCTGCAGTGAGCGATGATCAGGCCACTGTCCTCCAGCCTGGGCAACAGAGAGAGACCCTGTCTCATAAACAAATAAATAAATAAATGCCTCACCAACTTACAGCTTCTCCTCCTAGTAAGTCCTCCTGAGCCCTGGACCTCTCGTTTGGTTGATGGTCCTTGGTTTATTGTGAGCTGTTGCTTTTTTTTTTCTCCTAGGAAGATGTTTAGGATCCTAATTGTAGTTCGGAGGTTCATTCTAAATGTTCTTCTCAATTCCCTTTTTCTAAAGACAAGGAGAACGACCCCCTTGCAGGCACCCCATTTGGTATGTAGTTCGGAAGTACATTCTAAATGATCTTCTCCATGGCTTTTTCTCCCAAATTAAGCTCAGTGGGTTTGTCTGCACTGAGACTTTTTGTTGACGCTAAGTTAAGAGGGATAGAAGGAATTTCCATGGCCCAGCTTTGCAACTGATTTTCTGGAAAGCCCTTCCTGTCATCCTAACCTTCCCTCACCTAACCACAGGCTGCTCCTACTGTGAGGACAAGCACCCACCTTCACTCAATTTGGACTTTTCATCTGTTAAACAGGAAGTGAAACCTACAATGCAGGGTTCCAGGATTCCTTCTCAGAACCAAACCCAATAAAATGTGTAAAGTAGGTCCTTTCCCTGAGGCTGCACCATTCTGGGCTCTCCTAGCCCTTCCTTGTTTTTTTTTTTTTTTTTTGTTGTTGTTGTTGTTTTCTTTTTTCTTTTTTTTGAAACAGTCTCCCTCTGTCACCCAGGCTGGAGTGCAGTGGCATGATTTCAGCTCACTGCAATCTCTGCCTCCCCGGTTCAAGCGGTTCTCGTGCTTCAGCCTCCTGAGTAGCTGGGATTATAGGCGCCCACCACTACACCAGGCTAATTTTTTTGTATTTTTACTAGATTTGGGGTTTCACCATGTTGGCCAGGCTGGTCTCAAACTCCTGACCTCAAGTGACCCGCCTGCCTTGGCCTCCCAAAGTGCCCGGATTACAGGCATGAGCCACTGCACCTGGTGCGTCCTTGGTATTTCTATCAAGTCATTTCCTTTGAACACACCTCCATTTAGCACGTAGCATTTAGCGAAGCATTTGTTAATAGCACTGCATTGGAGTTATTTGGGTTGCACATAACTCGGTGGCAGCGTTTTAGAAAATGCACCCACCGCTGGATTGCATTCCTTAAGAGGAAGGAGTGTCTCCTTTTTTTTTTCTCCCACCACAGCACACTCACGGCCTGGTGCTTTGCCCAAATTGCTCCCCACGTGTTGAATGAGAGTCAATGGTATGAATCTTGAATGACCCAGGACCGTGCAAGCAGGAGATGAGGAATTGTGTGTGTGGTAGGTGATGGGGAGGAACAGAGTGGTAAAGCATTACCACAGCTACCAACCATGCCAGAGAAAAGCGCTTTAAGTGGCAGAAAACCTTAACTGGAGTCCCAGCTTCATAGGAGCATCCTCAGTCCCAAGCTGTCTCGATTTATTCATCTGTATAGTAGGGATAAATAGGGACTAACATGGTTAAACAGCTGCCCTCGGCCCTAAGTGAAAATACTTTATAAACCGGCGTGGCAGCTCATGCCTATAATCCCAGCACTTTGGGAGGCCCAGGAGTTCAAAACCAGCCTGGTGCAACATAGACCTCGTCTCCATTAAAAACAAAAGAAGGGCCGGGCGCGGGGTCTCACGCCTGTAATTCCAGCACTTTGGGAGGCCAAGGCGGGTGGGTCACGAGGTCAGGAGCTCAAGACCAGCCCGGCCAAAAGAGTGCAACCCCATCTCTACTAAAAACACAAAAGCCGGGAGTGGTGGCGGGCGCCTTGTAATCCCAGCTACTCAAGAGGCTGAGGCAGAGAATTGCTTGAACCCGGGAGGCGGAGGTTGCAGTGAGCCGAGATCGCGCCACTGCACTCTAGCCTGGGCGACAGAGCAAGACTCCGTCTCAAAAAATAAAAAACAAAACAAAACAAAAAACTTTGTAAAGAGCCCTCTCGCTCATTACCACCAGGGCCGCGCAGGGCGAGAGGTCTCCACTTCCCCTGGAAGGCAGGACCCAGAACCCCCCCAGGTGCTCGAGTTGTGGCTGCGGTTCGCGACTCCGCCCCACTTATCCGGCTTGTAGAAAAGTCCCACCTGTCATTAATGATTCGTCTGAAACGAATAGGCGCCTGAGGTATCCTCACATTTTATTGGTTAATGCTGCTGTTTGTCTTCGGGCGGCGGCCTCTGAGAAATGTAGTTCCGGAGAACACGGAGTCTTTCCGCTTCCGCTGCTCAGTGGTTATCCCACTAGCCGTGTTTAGGGCCCGGACTCGGGCTTCTAGTGTCGTGTGGGAACGTTGCGTCCCCGCGGAGATCATGTCGCGGGGGCCGAATCGTCCGTATTCTTAGGGCCTCGGCGGGCGGGAGTAGCTCTCACCTCGGGCCTGGGCCTCGAGCCAGGGTCCGGCGGCCTCCAGCCCTGGCCCCGAGTCCCCGCAATCTGACCCGAAGGCAGGATACGCCCCTTGTGCTGGTGGCGCCCTATTCCCGCTGCCCGCTGAGCCTGGAGGGACGACGCTGGCCCGTAGCCGCCGAGGCGCCCCTGGCCGCGGGGCCCGCGTTTGCCCCGTAAAGATTGCAGAGAAAGTCGCCCGCGGAGCAGAGTAACCTTCCAGTGTAAGTCACCCAGTCTGCAGTCGAAGGATTGAGCCACTGTTCATTTTCCTGCCTTAAACCAGCTACGTGACCTTGAACAAGTCCCTTGAGGTCTCTAAGCCATGATTGCCTCAGCTCTTAAGGGAGTTCAAGCCAGAGTATCTCTTAACTCTCCAACTCTACCATCCCGTGAGTCTATTTTTATCCTTTCTCTTAAAGCTTGCAACCTTAACCAGGGTAAATGTCCCTGTCTGGGCTAGAATTAGGATGCCAGCGCTGAGAAATCCTGAACGGTGCGCCCAAGGCTGAGAATCCAGCCGGAGGCGAGGGTAGTTGAGCGGTTGGAGTATTTGAATCTCTGACATTTAGAGACGGCTCCACCCCGAAGCTGTTCTTCAAGGTGCGACTACCTGTGTGAGTCTGACTGGTACTAGACATTTGCTATGCAACACCCTGTAGTTCTGAAGACCACTGGCTTGGGAGGGTGGGCAGTTTATTGTCGCATATATAATCTCCGTCAGCCCACCCACATTCGTCAGTGGATAATTGGCGTTTTCTCAGCTTTAAATTAATTGCTATGCAAACACAGCTTCAAGCTCCTCTACTTTTCAACCAGATCACTAGCCCTTGACTCCTCTTATCAAACTTGGGGAACTGCCACCCCACCAGTGACTCCACAGGCACCAGGGCATGCAGCAGGGCGGGGACAGGAAGGCTCTCTTCTTCACCTCAAGCCTGCTGGGCTAACACTTGAGATTTTTCCTAGAGTTCACTTTGTAATGTATGTCTCTTGACTCTAGAATTTCAAGAGAAGTTCCATTTAGTGGCTTCCAAGTGGGAGTTCTGAGGTGGTTTCCCAGTGAGGTGATAGAAGATGTTTGAGCTTCAGAGTGCAGTTGCAAGGCTCTTCTCTGACCTGAACAATGGCTGTAGCTGTGGACCAACAAATCCAGACTCCTTCAGTACAAGATCTCCAAACAGTTAAACTGGAAGAAGATTCCCACTGGGAGCAGGAAATTTCCCTTCAAGGGAATTACTCTGGACCGGAGACATCCTGCCAGAGCTTTTGGCATTTCCATTACCAAGAAGCATCAGGACCCCGAGAGGCCCTCCTCCAGCTCCGGAAGCTCTGTTGTCAGTGGCTAAGGCTAGAGAAGTGTACAAAAGAGCAGATCCTGGAGTTGCTGGTCCTAGAACAGTTCCTGACTGTCCTTCCCCAGGAGATCCAGATCTGGGTCCCACAGCAGCATCCAGAGAGTGGAGAGGAGGCAGTGGCCCTGGTGAAAGACTTGCAGAAAGAACCTGGAAGACAGAGGCTGGAGGTGAAATATAAAAACATAGTTCTGAGCAGTTAAAATAGAGGTATGTGAGAGGCAGAGCTGCCTTGGGTTGCTAGCAGTGTGGGCGATGTGTAGTACTTCACTATTTGTGTTAAACTGGAATTTACTTATTTCGTGGTCATGGTAGCTGCAACTTTCCTTCCAAGTTGAGGCTGACTCTTCAGAGAATGCACAACACTGGCTGCTCTGAGTGTCCGTCCCTGCCATTAAATAAGAAAATTGCTTAAAATGGCATGAGCCTCACTCTGATCAGGGAGGAGCACTTATGACAGGGGTCTCTTTTTGGAGAACAGCTCTCATTCTGCAGCAGCCAGCTAGAGGCAAGCGGCTTCAGTGGCCTTTATCGACATTATTGAGCCTATTGCAAAACACCTGAATTATCCTATGTTTTTTTGCCTAGGGGTTGGCAAGGCAGGTAGGAGCAGTCCCCAGAGAGCTGGGTGGCCAGGATGCGGTGGTCCATGGCTTTATCTCCATAAAGCCTTCCACATGTCTACCCTCTTTACTGCTGTTGCAGGCTTTTGCATAAGACTGGCTTTTTCCTCTGCTTTTTTTTTTTTTTTTTTGGAGATGGAGTCTCACTCTGTCACCCAGGCTGGAGTGCAGTGGTGTGATCTCGGGTCACTGCAACCTCCACCTCCTGGGTTCACACCATTCTCCTGCCACAGCCTCCCAAGTAGTTGGGACTACAGGCGCCCACCACCACTCCCAGCTAATTTTTGTATTTTTGTAGAGACAGGGTTTCACCATATTGGCTAGGCTGGCCTCAAACTCCTGACCTTGTGATCCACCCGCCTTGGCCTCCCAAAGTGTTGGGATTACAGGCATGAGCCACTACGCCCAGCCTTTCCTCTGCTTTTTTATGTTTGGGATGTTTAAGTTTTAGTCCCTACAGAATTTTGACCACTTCCACCCCTTGAGGAGGGGACAGGATGTGCTCTCAAAGGAGAAGGAGCCCTCAGGATCAGTACTGAGTTCTCTAAACATCCGTCCGAAGCAAGCACAGACAGAACTGCCTGTTTCAGGCAATAGTGAAGAAGTTCACAGCCAGAACCAGAGGAACAGTTGAAGCACAGCCCCAAAGTAGAACTCCAGCCTGTCCACAAGGGTGGTAAGAAAGTAGCAGTGTTGGCCCACGTGCGCCACACTCCCTGATCGCAGCGGGGCCATGGTGTGTACGTGCAGAATGCGTGGAGCGAGCTGCGCTTGCTTGCCCTGCACTCCTCCACAGCCTGGGCCGGACCGCCTGGGACGCTGAGGCGGCCGAGGGGACCGGTCTTGCGCACCCCAGGCCCGCGCGCCCAAGTCCAGGTTGCGGTTCGCCGCACAGGCCGCGTTCTCTCAACCCACGGTGGCGATGAGGCGCTGAGGCGGCCGCCGGCGCTGCGCGGGAGCCTAGGACTCGGAAGCGGCTGGGCCGAGAGCGCTGGGTGCCGGCCTCCCTGAGCCAAGGGTAGCAGGTACATGGCGCAGTAACGGCCCTTATCTCTCTCCCCGCTCCCCAGCCTCGGACGAGGCCGTCGGGCCGCCACCTCTTCTGCTCAGCTGCCTTCGCCATGGCCAATGACAGCTGCGGGCCCGCGAGCCGAGGGAGACTGGCAGTACTGCGAGCTGTGGGGGAAGATGGAGAACCTGCTGCTCTACAGCCGCCCTTCCTACTGCTGCAAGGAGCACCAGCCTCAGGACTGGAAGAAGTACAAGTTAGTGTGCCAGGGCAGCGAGGGTGTCCTCGGTCACGGAGGCAAAGCCTAGTTTGCTGACATTGAACCCAACTTTGATAGACTGCTGTTTTTCTGGTCTGACCGTCGCAACCCTCATGAAGTACAACAAGGTACGCAATAACTGGTATTTTGATGCACATGAGAAAGCACGAGCTAAAGTAAAATATCTAACAGGTGAAAAAGGTGTGAGTGTTGAACTCAATAAACCTTCAGATTCAGTCAGTAAAGACGTCTTATAGAGCCTTTGATCCAGCAATATCCCACTTCACCTACAATAATTGTTGACGCTATTTGTTAATTTGTGAATACGAATAAATGGGATAAAGAAAAATAGACAACCAGTTCGCATTTTAATAAGGAAACAAACAACTTTGTGTGTTGCATCAAACAGAAGGTTTTGACTGCTGTGGCTTTGTACTGCATGATCAACTTAGGATCTGTGATTGCTTACAGGAAGAAGATAGGCTACTAATTGAAAATATTTTTACCTCTGGATATGAAATAAGTGCCCTGCGTACAATTTTTTTCATTCTTATATTTTGCCAGATCTGTTACCTAGCTGAGTTAATTTCATCTCTCCTTTTTTTTTATATCAAGTTCGAATTGGGATCATTTTTCTATGATTAGGTATAATTTATCAAAACTGAATTGAGAAAAAAATTACAGTATTCCTCAAAATAACATCGATCTATTTTTGTAAACCTCTTTGTACTATTAAATTTTGCCCTAAAAGACCTCTTAATAATGATTGTTGCCAGTGACTGATTATTAATTTTATTTTACTTAAAATAAGGAGCACTTTAATTACACCTGAAAAATCAGATTGTTTTGTAGTCCTTTCTATCTTACACTAATTTGAACTCTTAAAGATTACTGCTTGTTTTTTTTTTTTTTTTTGAGACAGAGCCTTGCTCTGTCGCCCAGGCTGGAGTGCAGTGGCGGGATCTCAGCTCACTGCAAGCTCCGCCTCCCCGGTTTACGCCATTCTCCTGCCTCAGCCTCCCGAGTAGCTGGGACTACAGGCGCCCGCCACCTCGCCCGGCTACTTTTTTGTATTTTTTTTTTCAGTAGAGACAGGGGTTTCACCGTGTTAGCCAGGATGGCCTGGATCTCCTGACCTCGTGATCCGCCCGTCTCGGCCTCAAAGTGCTGGGATTACAGGCTTGAGCCACCGCGCTCGGCCTACTGCTTGTTTTGACTTTGTCAGTAATGAAACCCAATTGTAAAACGGTCACCATTTACTACCAATAACTTTTAGTTAATGTCTTACAAGGAAAAAGACACAATAAGAAGAGGTAATTTTTTTTTTTTTTTTTTTCTCAGAGTCTTGCTCTGTTACCCAGGCTGGAGTGCAGTGGTGCATTCTTGGCTCACTACAGCCCCTGCCTCCCAGGTTCAAGCAATCCTCCCACCTCAGCCTCACAACTAGCTGGGACTGTAGGCACACACCACCATGCCTGGCTAATTTTTGTATTTTTAGTAGAGATTGGGTTTCGCCATGTTGCCTAGGCTGGGGTTTAAGTTAAATTTTTTTAAAAACTAAAGTGACTGGCACTAAGTGAACTTGAGATTATCCTCAGCTTCAGGTTCCTAAGGTAAGGGCTTTCTTAAGCTTTCAGATAATGTATCCTCTAGGTGTAGACAATAATGCCCCATTACTAAGTCTTTTCCTTTGCTTCTCCTTAAATTGATTATACTTCCAAATTTGCTGTTATGTTTTTTCCTAATACTGTGATTTATTTGATCTACAGACAAGAACCTCGTCTCTACTTAAGAGCATCAAGGGGAGATTATGTACACATTGAAACCGAAGTGTGTTGTTACCAACTTAATGTGCAGTAACTCCTCAGATATCTGTTAAGGCATTTCCCAGATGTGATGCCAGCCTTCTTACCTGTACTGAAAGATGTTTAGCTTAGAAGAAAAAAAAAGTCCAAAATCAGATTAAAAAAAAAAAGAAGTAGTAGCAGCGTGGGGAGGAAGGAAGTACCCTTCTGTGGGGAGGGCATAGAAGTACTCTCTGAGTGCAGAAAGTGGGGTAGAAGGTACAGCTCCCTTCTACTTGGAAGATTGGTATGTGGAGCTCAGGCTGACTGCATGAATCTCTGAGATCCTAAATGGGCACCTCCAAAGTGAAGAAGGACCTCGGTTGGCATGTTTTGTAAAACAACATAGGGGAGCCTGTGGCACATTTCCTTATGTGAGTCAGAGATTACTGGCCCCAGTAGGTTACAGTTGGAGACAGATTTTAGGTCTGGTTGGTGGGAAGGGCAAAGGGTAGGGTTAAACTAAGGTGCAGTAATCCTTAAAACAGTTCAGTGTCCCCAAACCAATTTAGATGACTCAGGTGTTTATCAAAACTGAAAAACAAGGCCAGTTGTGGTGGCTCGTGCTTGTAATTCCAGTACTTTGGAAGCCGAGGTGGATGGATTGCTTGAGCCCAGGAGTTCGAGATGAACCTGGGCAATATGGTGAAACTCTGTCTGCTCTGAAAATACAAAAAAAAAAAAAATTAGCTGGGCATGGTGGCAGGCACCTGTAGTCCCAGCTACTCAGGAAGGCTGAAGTGGGAGGATCACCTGAGCCTAGGAGGTTGAGGCCAAGATCGTGCCACTGCACTCCAGCCTGGGTGACAAAGGGAGGCCCTGTCTCAAAAAAAAAAACACAAAAAACAAAAAACCTGAAAAACAAAATCATAAAACCCTGACAGTCAGTACCTAGATGGATATGGAGAGGAAGACCTAAAACTTCCATCTTAGAAATGTTTCATTTTGGTTTTTCACCAACCTTCCTTTGATAGGACAAAGCAGATACTAAGAGGAGGAGGAAAGGCTGTTCTGTGTCTGAACCCAGTTGGGCTAGTCCCCAATAGGAGCCGAGAGCCATGTACTCTAATGCCTCCTTTTTCTTCCCCCAGCTGAAGTGTGTTGTTACCATTGATCTTCTGGCTCTGAGAATTCCTGCAGAGAAGAGCAGGGTGGTGAGGAGATAGTGAGCAACTCCCAGGTGAGTCAGCCATTTCTCTTATACAGGTCACCTTTTCTCTCTCTTTTTTTTTTAAATAGAAATATAACTCTTGAGGCACAGCTCAGTTTTCTCCTTTTGGGAAAACTATTAAGTCATTTGTCTTTACGGATTATATATTTTTAAATTTTTCTCTATATTTTTAATTATACTTTTAAGTTTTGGGGTACATGTGCAGAACGTGCAGGTTTGTTACGTAGGTATATACGTGTCATGGTGGTTTGCTGCACCCATCAACCCATCGTCTACATTAGGTATTTCTTGTAATGCTCTCCCTCCCCTAGCCCCCAACCCCCTTCAGGTCACCTTTTACTACCAGAGTGGGGCTCCTGCAACCAACTAAAGCCGCTCAGAAATTCCGAAAGAATTTTACCCAGCAGGGAGGCCCAGAAATTTAAAATTTAGGCTCCAAAATTTCATCAGCCTGCAAAAGTTTGCCCAAATCTCCTTACCCATATGAGGCCAGTGCCACGGCTGTGGTAATGAGGGATTACATTAAAATTATTCTTTTCTTTGACCCTGAAATCATCAGATTCTAGTGATGTGCTTGTTTGCCTTAAAGATACTCGTTACTTCATTCTGTGTCGGGATATTGCTCACATGGCATGCAGTATTGTGTAGTGGAGGAAAAAAAACAAAAACCAAAAGCTTCAGAGTCCAACAGCCTTGAGTTGAATTCCCAGGCACACCCTGGACTCGCTCTGTAACTCTGGGCAAGTCTGAGAAGCTTCTGGCTCAGTGTATAGGTGTTTAATAAATGTCAGCTTGTTTCTTTTCTCTCTCTCCTCCTGCCCCCTTTATTGCATTTAAGAGCTAAAATAATCACTGTTTCGTTTCTTCTGTTTTGTCACTTGCCCTGATTGAGGCATTAGAGAGGCATTTTGTTCCGAGGCCATGTGTTTGAGAGGGAGTGTTATGTTTCCTCAGGAGTTAGCCACACCTGGTGATTCGGCTGTATATATCTCCTAGGAGCATGGAGGGATCCAGAATCTGGACAGAAGAACCACCTAGAAATAACTCGGCAGAATTCTGAAAATGAGGTCACGCTGGGTAAGAATGCCTTTTTTTTTTTTTTTTTCCATAGTCAAAGTTAGCTATCGAGTTTCTGTACTCCAGACCTTTTTCAGGTTGAATTTTTTTTTCTTTTCCCCTATGTCTGTTCTTATTTATTTTTTTTAAACTTTTATTTCAGTAGTTTTTGGGGAACAAGTGATGTTTGGGTACGTGGAAAAGTTCAATGGTGACTTCTGAGATTTTGGTGTACCCATCACCCAAGGGTAGTCTTTTTTATCCATCAAGTCTGTACCCAATGTGTAGTCTTTTTTTTTTTCTTTTTGTTTGAGACTGAGTCTCACTCCATCACCCAGGCTGGAGTGGAGTGGTACAATCTTGGCTCACTGCAATGTCTGCCTCCCGGGTTCAAGTGATTCTCCTGCTTCAGCCTCCCGAGTAGCTGGGATTACAGAGATGTGCCACCACGCCCAGCTAATTTTTGTATTTTTTTTTAGTAGAGATGGGGTTTCACCATGTTGGCCAGGCTGGTCTTGAACTCCTGATCTGCCTGCCTCAGCCTCTCAAAGTGCGGGGATTACAGGCCTGAGCCACCGCAGGGCCCCAATGTGCAGTCTTTTATCCCTCAGTCTGTACCCAGTGTGTAGTCTTTTATCCCTCACCCCCTTGCTCCCACCCTTTCCCCCTGGGTTGAATGTTTCAAATCTATTTTTTCCTCAAATCTTACTCAAAAGAAAGCCAATACCATAGTCAGTTTCACCAAGGATGAGTTTCTTGACCCAGAAAGGAAAGCTCATTTTAGGGAGATGGTCAGTTTAGGTATGTGTCTGAATTTTATTTAAGATAGGTGAACACAGATACATAGTTGTGCATTTGGGCCTGAATTTTTTTTCTAATTGTTCTTTTCACTGAGCTTTCCCAAGAACCCCCTCAGACTTTAAAAAAAAAAATTACTATCAGCTGGGCCGGTGGTTCATGCCTGTAATCCCAGCACTTTGGGAGGCTGAGGCAGGCGGATCACCTAAGATCAGGAGTTCAAGACCAGCCTGGCCAACATGGTGAAACCCTGTCTCTACTAAAAATACAAAAATTAGCCAGGCATGACATCGCGTACCTGTAATCCCAGCTACTCGAGAGGCTGAGGCTGGAGAATCGCTTGAATCCAGGAGACGGAGGTTGCAGTGAGCCGAGATTGTGCATTGCACCCCAGCTTGGGTGTCACAGCGAGACTCTATCTCAAAAAAAAAAAAAATTACTCTCTCTTCTCCCTGGCACATAAAATGGTTGGAATTAGATTTACCAAACCATTACATCTCCCTTTTGTGTGCCTGCAAACAGATTTTCCAATCCATAGGCCCAAAATGAACTCCCACATGGAGTAGGAGGAAAACCCACAGAGTCTAGATCTTCACATTCTGGAGAAACCCATCACATCTCCCTTTTGTGTGCCTGCAAACAGATTTTCCAATCCATAGGCCCAAAGTGAACTCCCACATGGAGTAGGAGGAAAACCCGCAGAGTCTAGATCTTCACATTCTGGAGAAAAGGAGAATGTGAAAGACTGCTCAGTGGCTGGGGTGAGAGTCAAGTCTGGCCAGGTGCTAATCTGGAGAAAGCCAAGACCTGGAGCTAGCTGGAGTGGCAGGTCCTGGAGGATGAGAAGGTGGCAAAAGTGCACTGGGAATACAAGGAAACCAAGGTTTTTCTGGGAATTCTCAGAGGCCTGGATCCATGAAAAACTCCGCATCAGCCATTGAAACCACCAGGTGTACCAGATTATGGCTGAGCAGCTACAAGAGCATGGCTTCATGTGAACCCTGGAGCAATGTTGCTATCGGTTCAAAAACCTCCTGACCAACTACTGCAAAGCCAGGAGCACCTACACACCAGGCACCAGTGCCTTCTATGATGAGATGGATGCCCTGATGAGTGCTTGGGCACTTGCTAACACCTTTGATGCCTTAGAGGTGGTAGGAGGCCGTCTTCAGGATTGAGAGGATTCCAAAGGGAACCAGGGCATAGCACTAGAAAATGTGGTGGGATGGTAATGAAGTAGTGGAGTCTCAAGAAGAATCCTGGAGCCTTGGTCCCCAGGCCTTGAGGTAGAATCCCAGTGGCAACTCTCCCCCACAGTGGACCTCAGAGCAGTGGGAGCAGTGCAGTCCTGTGGGAAGCATTCAGGCTCAGAATCAGATGTGATTATTGTCCTGGCTCTGCTATGACTAATTTAGGTCTGGAATGGCCTCATTTGGGGAAAAATTGGTGGCAACTTTAAGGGAATACTGTTTCTATCCTGTCCTCAAATATTGCTTGACTCAACCCTCTACTGAACCAGTAGTCCAGGGTGGCTCACAAAGACCACTTTGAGGCTCTTGCTCTGCCTATAGCCAAGGAGTCTCCCTTCCTGCCTTTAGTAACAACATTACAGGAACAGAGGAGAGAAAGGTAGGAGTTAAAAGTTCCAGTCATTTGTTTCCATCTAAAGTGCCCTATAAGCCAGGCATGGTGGCGCATGCCTGTAGTCCCAGCTGCTCGGGAGGCTGGGGCAGGAGAATCACTTGAGCCCGGGAGTTGGAGGCTGCAGTGAGCTGTGATCATGCCACTGCATTCCAGCCTGGGCAACAGAGTGAGACCCAGACTCAGTTGAAAAATAATAATGTTATTATTAAAATAATTTAAAGTGTTCCATAGATGTGAACACTGCATAGATTATATACAACAGTCTGCCATTTAAAAGGCTTGTTGTTCTTGGGCAACCTCGTTAAACACCCTTAGCCTCCATTTTCTCATCTGGACAGTGGACATATGATGGTTTCTACCTCCTTGGGCTATTATGAGGATCCTGACACAGTATTAGCACTCGGCAAATGTTAGTTTTCATTATTATCATTATAATTATGATGATGTCCCCTCCTGCTTTTCCTTGAACAGGACTTCCAGTTCCCCAGCCAGATGGGGTCACAAGGCTGCAGAAAAGTGAAGAGCTTTGGAATGAAGTTCTCCAGGACTTCAAGGAGATTCAGAAAACATCCAGCGCAGGTGGGAAATGAGTAGGAGCTAGCATTCCACCAACAAAGTCAGCCCTGGGATTCTAAACTCGGACAAGCCAGCACTGGGCAAGGGCTGAGAGGGGAACCAGGTGCTCAGTGCTCCCAGTTTACTATTCTGTGGTGTGGAAAGCACAGGAGTAGGGAAAAGAACAGAGAAGCAGGTGGCACCCAGGAAAGCCTGTTCCCCTAAGTTTGAACTTTAGTTACCTTGAAAAAAGGTATAACTGAATTGTGAGTGTTTATGATTTTATCTTTAAATTTCTGTTTCTTTTTTTTTTTTTGAGACGGAGTCCCAGGCTGGAGTGCAGTGGCACAATCTTGGTTCACTGCAGCCTTTACCTCCCAGGTTCAAGCAATTCTCCTGCCTCACCCTCCCGAGTAGCGGGGATTATAGGCGCGCCACCACCATGCCTGTCTAATTTTTGTATTTTTAGTAGAGACAGGGTTTCACCATGTTGGCCAGGCTGGTCTTGCACTACTAACCTCAGGTGATCCACCCGCCTTGGCCCCCACAAAGTGCTGGGATTACAGGTCTGAGCCACTGTGCCTGATCTATCTTTAAATTTCTATTTGAATTTATTTAGGTTTTTTTAATAAAAATCTTTTTCTTTTTCTTTTCTGTTTTTTAGAGACAGGGGCTCACCATGTTGCCCAGGCTGATCTCGAACTCCTCCTGGACTCAAGCCATCCTCCCACCGCAGCCTCCCAAAGTACTGGGATTACAGACATGAACCACCATGCTTGACCTGAATTTTAACTACAATTAATTATCACTTAGCCTGGTTAATAGAAAAAATAAACATGGAAAACCCCAAATTAAAACTAGAGTCAACCTTAGATTATTAGAGGGATGAATTTCTCATCCTTAAGATGACCTTCCCCTCCCTGGTGGGGCTGTCATTTTGTTGGAATTTAAGGGATCTGATAAATCTGGGTACTTTGAATGTGGGAAAGGCTTCAGTGATCATTCTAACCTTACAGCACACTAGAGAATCCACATTGGGAAGAAGCCCTACAAATGTGGAGAGTGCTGGAAGAGCTTTACCCAGAGCTCAAGCCTCATTACACACCAGAGAATCCATACAGAAGAGAAACCTCGTAAGTGTAGTGAGTGTGGAAAAAGTTTCATCAGTAGCTCACACCTCAGTGTACACTGGCGAATGCACACTGGTGAGAAACCCTTCCAGTGCCCAGAGTGTGCAAAAAAGTTCAGAAAGAGCTCCACCCCCACCAGCCATCAAAGGATCCACACAGGAAAGAAACCCTATCTGGAATGTGGGAAAGGTTTCAGTGACCACTCAAACCTCATTACCCACCTATGAATTCACACTGCAGACCCTGTAAATGCGGGGAATGTGGGAAAAGCTTTAATCAGAGCTCAAGTCTCATTATACAGCAGCAAATTCACACAGGAGAAAACCCCTGGCTGGGCGCGGTGGCTCCCACCTGTAATCCCAGCACTTCGGGAGGCCAAGGTGGGTGAACTGCAAGGTCAGGAGATTAACACCATTCTGACCAACATGGTGAAACCCCGTCTCTACCAAAAATACAAAAATTAGCCGGACATGGTGGTGTGTGCCTGTAATTACAGCTACTTGGGAGGCTGAGGCAGGAGAATTGCTTGAACCAGGAAGTCGTAGGTTACAGTGAGCCGAGATCGTACCACTGCATCCCAACCTGGTGACAGAGCAAGACTCCATCTCAAGAAAGAAAAGAAAAGAAAAAAGCCCCTATGAATGTAGTGAATGTGGGAGGTGATTCAACAATAGTTCACATTTTAGTGCACATCAGAGAACCCACATGGGAGACTCTAAATGTTCCCTAAATGTAGAAGAAATGTTTTTAAAGCATTGAGGCTGAAAACAGTAGGAAATCTATCCCAAGAAAGGGTTTGTCTTGCCCTTGATTCTCTACCACATCACTCACATGAGATAAAGAGAAAATTAAGATTTCAGTCTGACAGACTTTTCTCTCTCTCACTAAACACTCACTTGGCTTATGAAATAGCAGTCAGGGTTTTCTTATTTGTGCTGTTGAGACAAGTCAGTTTCCAGAGTCTTCAGAGACTACTTCTGAATTTGATTATGTCACCATCTCAGTGAGTCTTCACTGTGATTCTGTGCCTTAACTTTCAGTTTGGCAATGGGGTGAGATTCTTGTCTCTGAGACCCTCCCTCAAGGACAGAGGCGGCTCTGCACTACTGCACTGATGATGTTAATGATGGTTGGGTCAGCTGTGGGCTATTCTAAGCACCTGGCAGCTAGACATGGGTTTATTAACTAAAGGAAATCATAAAGGTCTATTGTTCTCTGAGAGGACTGGGGCTCAGAACATGTCTACATTTCCCCAAATGCCTTTTCTTAGGATTGACTTGGCATCAATTGAGAGGAAAGCATTCTATATACTTAATCCTTTGGAGGAAGGGAAAGGAGAATAATAGTTCCAACACTAGAGGTTGGCTTTTTAACCATAACTTACTCCTCCTCTCAATGTATTGGATTGAACCTTACAAGATTGCTGTTTTGGTCTACAAAACCAGCAATTTTACAATTCAATCTAAGTAGAATTTGTGTGGCAGGATTGCTTTAAATGCGCAACAGCGCTTGCAGTAGAGCCTTACAGCTCATACTGTATCCTAAAAATGTGAGACTGGGTCTAGAAGGTTGTGAGCCAGAATAATGAAGTACAAAAAGCCTTTTCTGTATATGTCCAGAGCAGTAACTAGGAACCGTGGCATTAAGAAGTGTCCTAGTTGGAGAGCTTACCTCTCTATCACCTTCTTCAAGCGCACTAGTTCCTGTCTATGCTCAGGTGTCCTCAGGGCTGGGGTCTCCAGATCCTGGGGAAGAGTCTACGTGTAGGCCAACGGGTTCCTGTGGATTTGAGCCTCTCTCTAAGAGCCGAACAGAGACCCTGGAAGGACTCATGTACAGAACAAATGGGATTTAGAAATAAATGGAATACAGTTTCTACCTCTGAAAATGGTTCTTTTCGTGTGTTTAACCTTTTTTCCCACAACTTTCTAGAATTGCAAAACAAAGCACAATTTACACATACTATGAGTATACCAATTAGATTTATGAAATAATCTGATTAAGTCATGAGTCGTGTTTTTGGAAAAGAGCTTACTCAAATATCTGTCAAAAGTCACTGATGGGCTGTGGCATGACATTCTTTTTTTCTTTAAGAATTACCTTTGGCCGGGCACGGTGGCTCACACCTGTTATCCTAGCACTTTGGGAGGCCAAGGTGGGTGGATTGCCTGAGCTCAAGAGTTTGAGACCAGCCTGGGCAACACGGTGAAACCCTGTCTCTACTAAAATACAAAAGAAATTAGCTGGGTGTGGCAGCATGCACCTGTAGTCCCAGCTATTTGGGAGGCTAAGGCAGGAGAATTGCTTGAACCCAGGAGGTGGAGGTTGCAGTGAGCTGAGATCACGCCACTGCACGCAAGCCTGGGCGACAGAGCAAGACTGCATTTCTACAAAAATAATAATAATAATAATAATAATAATTCAGCCACCTTAGGAAGCCTCTCATTTATGTATTTCTAGCATGTAGTTAGTGTTGCACATGGGAAGGGCTTAATAGATGCTGACAGAGTGAACAACTTATTTAACCTTATCACCTATTGTGTGTGTGTGTATGTGACAGGGTCTCACTCTGTTGCCCAGGCTGGAATACAGTGGCATGGTCACAGCTCACTGAAAACTCCACCTGCCAGGCTCAGGCAATCCTCCCACCTCAGCCTCTTGAGTAGCTGGGACTACAGGCTCACACCACCACACCCAGCTAATTTTTCTATTTTTAGTAGAGACAGGGTTTCACCATGTTACTCAGTCTGGTCTCGAACTCTTGGACTCGAGTAATCCACCTTTCTTGGCTGCCTACATTGCTGGGATTACAGGCATGAGCCACCATGCCCAGCCAATTTTTTTTTTTTTTAAGGGACAGGATCTTGCTATGTTGCCCAGGCTGGTCTCAGCTCAAGCAATCTGCCCACCTCAGCCTCCAAAAGTGCTGGGATTACAGGTATGAGCCACCATGTCCAGCACACTTTAATATTCACTATGGGCCCTCAAAAGGAAATGTTTGTGGGGCCACCAAAAGCAAATGTCCCTTGAACCTAGTCACTTGGGGGGACAAGTGTGGGAAAGTGCACCTGTGTACCCATGAGAACCACTCAAGATGAGCAGAAATCTTGTTTTGCTATTTCCTTAATTGCTACTAGGGCTGGGATTTTTTTATGTTTATTGGCCCCTCTACATTTTTTTCTTTAAAAAAATTCACAAAGCATGTTTGTTAGCTCTTTCGATTCTTCCTATGCTAGTGTGAAGACAGGGACAAAACACTGCCATTTTACACTCCTAGATGTAACAGTAGCTACTAAGTAGTTACACCATGCATTTCTTCTAACCTTCACAATATCACTAGGAGGTAGTTCTTACTATCCTCATTTTACAGATAAGGAACCTGAGGCTAAGTGACGCTGGTGTACTTGCCCAAGGCCACACAGCTGGTAACAGGGACTGGCAGTCACTTGAGTCCTACATCAGTAGCCTTGCTACTACAGCAGCTCCTCCCCTTTCTAGAGGCCTGGATGGAAAGATGCTGGTGTCAGCAGGGGGCACAAAGGTCCACCCAATCCCACACATGCAAAGAGGCATCATTTGTTGCTGATAACAAAGTCCTTGGTCTGCAGGGGTGCCAGGTGTGGGTGGTGACCAAAGGAGCAGGGTCCGTCCCGCTTCCATCTAGGAAGACGTGACCTCTGTGAGTGAAGAGAGGTTCTACTTGGCTCTGCGTTCCATTCCAAGATGTGGCATCATAGACCTGGACTGTACCATCAAAACCTGAGAATATAGAAAAGAGAGGCTTGAAAATGAATCCCTAATTTTATTTTAAAATAATTTTCTTTCTTTTTTTAATAGAGATGGGGTTTCACCACGTTGACCAGGCTGGTCTTGAACTCCTGGCCTCAAACAATCCTCCCATCTCAGCCTCCCAAGGTGCTAGGATTACAGGCATGAGCCACTGCACCCAGCCCCTAAAATACTTTTAATAATTTGCTCTGTGGTACCAAAACAGGCTATTGGATGAGGAATCAAGGCACTTAAAGGCTAACCATGGGCAAGTAGCATCTGCCCTCAGTGTTGGCAGCTGATGACTCCCTGGGGCATGTAACCATGGGCATCGTTGTGCACCTGTTACGCGTGAGGCTTGAAGGCTAATTCTGGACAAGTATTACCTCTTTTAATCCTCAGAACTGTGTGACACAGATACTGTTATTTTCCCCAGGAAACTGAGGCTTAAGAGACTTCTTCAAACCTTTGCAAGTTGCCCCAGATTCCAATCCCCTACCTCTGGGTCCCTCTCAGCAGATGGCCTTGTCTCCTACTCAGTGAGGGAAACAGAAGCCTTTGGAGAGAAATACCCTCACGTCCCTGCACAATCTAGCTGCATGCACACTCATCCCATCCTGCCATCTTCCTGTTACTGAAGAGCCAGCCCCTCTACCTGAGCTTGGCTTTTCTATTCTTTCTGGATCCTGGCATTTCTAATCATCCTTTCTTGCTCTCAATGATTTTTTTCAACCCCCACCTGTCTCAACAGATCCTTCCTGTTGGCTTTTAGATACCCACATTAAGTACCCAAGCAACTAGATGCCACCAGACCAGACCCAGGAGCCTGCTGACCTAACTGGCTTACTACTTTTTTTTTTTTTTTTTTGAGGCAGAGTGTTGCTCTGTCGCCAGTCTGGAGCAAAGTGGCGTGATGTCAGCTGACTGCAACCTCCGACTCCCGGGTTCAAGTGATTCCCCTGCCTCAGGCTCCCGAGTAGCTGGGACTACAGGTGTGCAACATCACACCTGGCTAATTTTTTTAATTTTAGTAGAGACAGGGTTTCACCATGTTGGCCAGGATGGTCTCGATCTCCTGACCTTGTGATCCACCTGCCTCGACCTCCCAAAGTGCTGGGATTATAGGCGTGAGCCACCGCGCCTGGCCAGCTTGCTACATTTCAAAAGGTAAGTAGGCTGAGAAGTACCCTTGAGGTCCTGTCCCCGCTTCTCTTTTTTTTTTTTTCTTTTTGGGACGGAGTCTCTCTCTGTCGCCCAGGCTGGAGTGCCGTGGCGCAATCTCAGCTCACTGCAAGCTCCGCCTCCCGGGTTCACACCATTCTCCTGCCTCAGCCTCCCGAGTAGCTGGGACTACAGGCGCCCGCCACCGTGCCCAGCTAATTTTTTGTATTTTTAGTAGAGACAGGGTTTCACCATGTTAGCCACTGTCCCCTCTTCTTTCTGACCCAGCCCTATGTCTGTCTCAGTGTCTTACTGTCTGCAGGCCCCTCCACCAACCTAAGACCTGAATTCCTGCTAGGCTAGGAAAGGCCTGCTGCCAGTGTGTGGAAGTTTAGTAGCCAGTGGGGGAAAAGGCCTGCCACTGAAGAACCTGGAGAGTTCGAATTTCTCTGTGAGCAACTTTAACTTCTGGAGTCAGGTTTATCATGTTGCTGGAGGCTCCTTCCTGAGCACGCAACAGTCCCCTGAAAGAAAGAGATCAGATAACAGACAAAATCCTGCTCAGTAGTACCTGAGATGGCCAAGCAATTCTTCAGGCTTGGGGCCCAAGTCACTCGTAGCAGCTCTGGGTCAGGGCTAGGTATGGATACTGGGCACTGGACTGAGCTCACAGGATGGCAGAGATCCCGGGGGTCAAGAAGACAAAGATGCCCATCTGAGCCAAGGCTGGCAATGCTGGGCCCAGGGCCCTGGCCCCTGCTCCCAACTTCGGCACACCATCTCTCTCCACCAGACCCAGGGCCAGGGCTGCGATTCTCCAACGGTGCCCACTTCTGGCGGGTGTCAACAAGCCCCAGCCGGCCCGAAGCACAGCAGAAGGCAAAGGTGTCTGCATCTAGGACCTGCAGGCTACTCAGCTCCTCACTGTCACTGACATCTGGAAGACCAAGAGCAAAGGAGACAAGCAGCTGAAGGCAGATGGATCTGGCAATCTGGCAGGGCTGGCTGGTCACAGGTCCCTTTCCACCAGTGCCAGGCAGAATAAATCACATCTCCCTTCCCACTCATCTTGCCATTGTCTGATCGGCTGGTTGGGTGCTGGTCCCTGGGACTGCCTAATCCTGCCCCAGCATGGGAGCCTTTTGAGGCCAGGGCTCACCTCTTATTCACCTTGTATCCCCAACACCTGGCACACAGGGTTGAACTCAGTTTCCATAGTGGCTGAGTTGGGCTGGGGGGTGATGCCGGCTGGAGCAGCCAGCAAGGGGCAAAGTACCACAATACCTGAGGTGTACATGGTCTTCCGGGATTCCAGATCAACGACCTGCAGACTGCGGAGTCTCGCCCCATGGAGGACTCTAGGTGCCATTGAGGTGAAGACAGCCACCCTAGGCCAGAGACTCTCCTCTTTCTCATGCACACCAATGGTGCTGACAGCTTTAATGACATCTAGGGGAAAACGAAAAGAGGCTAAAATCCAGAACTTTAATGAAGGTTTGAAACATGACAGGCCAGCCAGCTGTCATCCCCTGTACATTTAGAAGGTCAAGAAAGAAAAGGAGCTGCCGGTTGGCAAGAGATGATGTTGAGACATAACCACTCTGACTCATGTTTACATTTTTGAAACCATCAGAAACATTTCAATTTCTTTATTATTTGTCTTATAAACTGTTTTTTGCAAATAGAAGATAATGCCATCTGAAAACCCAAAAAGCAATTCTGGCTTTTTATATTTTTGTGGAGAACAGGTAGAAGAAAAGGAATGAACACGCTGCTGATGTCACACCTTCAGCGACAAGTCACAGGTACAGAATTCATGAACTGATGTTATTTCTTCAAAAACGTGTTCCATGACCTCGAGTGACTTGCTAAAGCCTAGCAAGTACAGGTCACGTTACAGATGTCATTGTCTTGTAAGGTGGACAAGAAAGTCCACATCTTTTTTACACTGAATGGAACATCCTTGGCTTTGAGTCAAGTTTTGTTTTGGTTCTTTTGTTTTTTTGAGACAGAGCCTCACTCTGTTGCCCAGGCTGGAGTCCAGTGGCACAATCTCAGCTTACTGCAGCCTCCACCTCTCAGGTTCAAGCAATTCTCCTGCCTCAGCCTCCCAAGTAGCTGGAATTATAGATGTGTACCCTCATGCCCAGCTAATTTTTTTGTATTTTTAGTAGAGATGGGGTTTCGCCACGTTGCTCAGGCTGGGCTCAAACTCCTGGTCAGGCGACCCACCTACCTCGGCCTCCCAAAGTGCTGGGATTACAGGCATGAGTCACCGCACCCAGCCAAGTTTTAGTTTTTATTTGGTTGTCTCCACCCGCTAGGTTAACAGGCAGGTTCTCCTCTCTGTATTCTACATCTGAGGCTTCTCTTAATATATGCTTAATGCTGCCAAAGAGGTGAGCTCACTTGAGCAGCCTTAGCTCTGCCCTTGCCACTGCCCCTGCCTAGGGACAGTAGTTCTCTGGATGAACTCAATTCCAGGAGCAGGTTACAGGAAGCTCCATTTGGGGCTTGGATGTCATGTCGTGGTTGCTAATTCATCTTGTCTGCATTAAAGTAGATACTGCACCTGGCTCTGAGTCTACTTCTTTTTTTTTTTTTTGGAGACAGAGTTTTGCTCTTGTTGCCCAGGCTGGAGTGCAGTGGCATGATCTCGGCTCACTGCAATCTCCACCTCCCGGGTTCAAGCGAATCTCCTGCCTCAGCCTCCCCAGTAGCTGGGATTACAGGTGCCCACCACCACGCCCGACTAATTTTTTTTATTTGTAATAGAAATGGGTTTCACCATGTTGTACAGGGTGGTCTTGAACTCCTGAACTCAAGTGATCCACCCAGCTCAGCTTCCCAAAGTGCTAGGATTACAGGCATGAGACTGTCCCTAGCCTGGGTCTACTTCTTAACTGGCTCAGATTAGGGGACAGGAGTGTATGAGTCACACTTTCCTAGAACCCCAAACCCCATCAAGTCAAATTCACTCACCACTGTCCTCTGCAACTTGCCACACCTGCAGATAACAACCTGGAAGGCCACTAGTCACCAGCAATCTATTCAGAATAAACAGAAAATCAGTCCAGACCATGGGGAGCTTATCCACACAGGTCCCTTCCCCTCTCCAGCCCACTTAGCTTGGGACTCCACTTCCCGTATCAGGAAATCTTACTGCAAGATCATCAAGGCCAACCACCCTCACTTCACAGATAAGAGGCAGGCTCAGTCCACTTTAGGGAGACTGAGCCTAAGCTTCCATGTGTCATGATGGTAACCTAGAGAGGACACCAGTATGGGGCCAAACACAACCTGACCCAGAGACTCTTAGCCTCTCCCAACTAAGCAATTATCACCCAAGAGCAACAGAAGAGCATCCTTCTGTCCCGTTTCTATTCCCTGGAGCAACTCCGGTAGACCTATTTCTTAAAATAGTCAAAGGGTTCTGGGGGGCTATGAAGCCACAGCAGTGGTTTCTTTGTATTCTAAATCTGGGCGTATCTGTGTGCACGCACTTGTGTACTCACATGTGCCCATGTGCTGAGGGGGTGGGAATGGAGACGAGGAGGCAGAATACCCCTCAGGCATCCCATCCTGCATGGATGGTCTGGATCACAGAATTGACCATACCTGGTATGTGGCACGTGCTTTAGATCAAAGATAGACCTGTCTGAAAATCCTCCATGGCGCACTTTGAAATCTCTTTCTGGGAATAAGCCCTACAATACAAAGGAGTAGCCAATCAGAGCCAGTTCTTCAAATGAACATTTCAGAGGAACTCTTAAGTGAGGAGTCAGGTCCCAGCCTGGCAGGAGGCCATGGAAGCCACTCAGCTGGTGACAGGGCGTTGGTGTGCTGGTATTTGGCAATGTTGGTCTCAGCTGCCTACACATACAGCTTCCTTTTTCCTTTGCACATCCAAAACCCTTCTAGCCTTTCACTAGCCCCTTTTACTACAGCACAAGCATTATACTCCAGGCCTTCCTAGAGAAGCCAGAGAAGCTTAACAGCTTCATCAAAGAAAGCAGTGGACACATCCCCATTTCTCCCTCCATTCTCCTGCTGGAAACCAGGTGGATTCCTCTAACAATAAAAATTAACAATGACAACTTATCAGTGTTCACTGTGTCAGGCGCAGTGTTTAGGGCTTTATCACATTTAATTCTTACAACCTCCTATGATACAGGTACTATAATTATCCCTATTGTACAAATGACACAATTAAGGCACAAGGAGCTTCAGCCACTTTTCTAAGGTCATGCAGGTATTAAGTTGTGAATTTGAACCAAAGTCTCTCTAGCCCAAGTCCATACTGTTGGCCACTAGCCTCTACTATCTCCATGTAAGGAACGAGAGGCAAGGGAAAAGGAGGTGGCCATAGAAGAAACAAGGCAAACCTGGTGGTGAGCAGGCCACCTCCTTTTCCCTTGCCTCTCGTTCCTTACATGGAGATAGTAGAGGCTAGTGGCCAACAGTATGGACTTGGGCTAGAGAGACTTTGGTTCAAATTCACAACTTAATACCTCAGGAAAAATGCCAAGTTTGTAGATTGACATGGTGGCTTACGCCTATAATCCCAGCACTTTTTGAAGCTGAGGCGGCAGACTGCTTGATACCAGGAGTTCAAGTCCAGCCTGGACAACATGGCAAGTCTGTCTCTTCACAAAATTTAAAAAGTTAAAAAAGACCAGGCATGGTGGCTCATGCCTGTAATCTCAGCACTTTGGGAGGCTGAGGCAGGCGGATCACCTAAGGTTGGGAGCTCAAGACCAGCCTGGGCAACTTGGCGAAAACCCATCTCTACTAAAAATACAAAAATTAAATGGGTGTGGTGGTGCACACCTGTAGTCCCAGCTACTCAGGAGGCTGAGGCAGGAGAATAGCTTAAACTGGGGAGACGGAGGTTGCAGTGAGCTGAGATCACGCCACTGCCCTCCAGCCTGGGGTACAGAGTGACACTCTCTGTCTCAAAAAAAAGTTTAAAAAAAAAAAAAAGCCAAATTTGTACTCATAAAACCCAGAGGCTACAGAAGCTATCATCTTCCCCATCTCCAGTCAGGCTTGAGTCAGGGGTTCACCCAGACTGAGCCTCGCTGTGAGAAGTGAGCCTGACTGGAGATGGGGAAGATGATAGCTTCTGTAGCCTCTGGGTTTTATGAGTACAAATTTGGCTTTTTTTTTTTTTAAACGTTTTTTTGAGACAGAGAGTGTCACTCTGTACCCCAGGCTGGAGGGCAGTGGCGTGATCTCAGCTCACTGCAACCTCCGTCTCCCCAGTTTAAGCTATTCTCCTGCCTCAGCCTCCTGAGTAGCTGGGACTACAGGTGTGCACCACCACACCCATTTAATTTTTGTATTTTTAGTAGAGATGGGTTTTCGCCAAGTTGCCCAGGCTGGTCTTGAGCTCCCAACCTTAGGTGATCCGCCTGCCTCAGCCTCCCAAAGTGCTGAGATTACAGGCATGACCCACCATGCCTGGTCTTTTTTAACTTTTTAAATTTTGTGAAGAGACAGACTTGCCATGTTGTCCAGGCTGGACTTGAACTCCTGGTATCAAGCAGTCTGCCGCCTCAGCTTCAAAAAGTGCTGGGATTATAGGCGTGAGCCACCATGTCAATCTACAAACTTGGCATTTTTCCTGAGCTTTCTCTCTTGAGATTCTAATTCAGTATGTTTGGGAAGTATGCTAGGAATATGCATTTTAGCCAGCACTCCTAATGGCCCTGGTAGGGTGGTCCTCAGGCTATGATAAAAACTGGGCCACATCTGCATGGGATCTAGCCTCTCCCAGGCTAAGCAGTGTTTTTCTATGTCCTTGTCTAGCCTCTCGGCCTCTTCTATTCTAAACAATTCGACCCAACTTCATACCATGGTGATGCCCTAAGATAAATTTATTTACTTATTTTTGTGAGACAGAGTGTCACTCTGTTACCTAGGCTGGAGTGCAGTGACGCCATCTCAGGTTACTGCAACCTCTGCCTCCTGGGTTTAAGGGATTCTCTGGTGCCTCAGCCACCCTTGAGTAGCTGGGATTAAAGGCATATACCACCACACCCAGCTAATTTTTTTTTTTCTTTTTTTTTTTTTTGAGACAGAGTCTTGCTCTGTCACCCAGGCTGGATGCAGTGGTGTGATCTTGGCTCACTGCAACCTCCACCTCCCGGGTTCAAGCGATTCTTCTGCCTCAGCCTCCCGCGTAGCTGGGACTACAGGCATGCTACCACACCCGGCTAATTTTTGTATTATTAGTAGAGATGGGGTTTCACCACATTGGCCAGGCTGGTCTCAAACTCCTGACCTCATGATCCGCCCGCCTCAGCCTCCCAAACTGTTGGGATTACAGGCGTGAGCCATGTGCCTGGCCGAATTTTTTTTATTTTTAATAGAGATGGCGTTTCACCATGTTGGCCAGGCTGGTCTTGAACTTCTGGCCTCAAGTGATCTGCCCACCTCAGTCTCCTGCTCCCAAAGTGCTGGGATTACAGGCATGAGCCACCACGCTCGGATTGTTTCTTATTTCATTAAATAATTTAAAAACAAAACAAAACAAAAAAGGCCAGGTGCAGTGGTTCACACCTGCAATCCCAGCACTTTGGGAGGCAGGAGGATTGCTTGAGCTCAGGAGTTCGAGACCAGCCTGGGTAACCTGGCAAGATTCTGTCTCTACCAAAAAATACAAAAGCTAACCTGGTGTGGTGGCACATGCCTGTGGTCCCAACTACTTGGGATCCTGAAGTGGGAGGATGGCTTGAGCCCAGGAGGCCGACGTTGCAGTGAGCTGAGATCACGCCACTGCACTACAGCCTAGGTGACAGAGTGAGATCCTGTCTCAAAAAAAAAAAAAAAAAAAGAAATGTGGGGCCAGGAGTGATGGCTCATGCCAGTAATCCCAGCACTTTGGGAGGCCGAGGCAGGTGGATCACTTGAAGCCAGGTGTTCGAGACCAGCCTGGCCAACATTGCGAGACCTCATCTCTACAAAAAAAATTAACAATTCGCCAAGCATGGTGGTGCATGCCTGTAGTCCCAGCTACTCGGGAGGCTGAGGCGGGAGGATCACTTGAGCATGGGAGGTTGAGGCTGTAGTGAGCCAGGATCACACCACTGCACTCCAGCCTGGGTGACAGAGCAAGCCCTTGTCTCACACAAAAAGGAATTCAGGAGCAAACACTCCAATTCCTGCCCCTACGTGGCCCTACAAGGTCATCTGCCTGTATGCCTCACTCCTCCCTTGTCCTCTGATGACTAATAGCATCCCCTGGACTCCTGATCTATCCTCATCTTCTATTCCTGGAAGCAGGAGCATGTTCCCTGTGATATTCCCTCATTTTCACCCTCTCCCTCTTCGAGGGTTACTTTCCCACAACTTGTAACTCTGCTCAAGCCTCTGTGTTTAGGAAACCTTCCCTCAGATCTGTGTTTCCAACTAGTTGCTGCTTTAGCTTCTTCCCTCCCTACATTTCCTGACTCTGCTTCCTCTTCATTTTTAGTCTTTGGGCCTAACCACCACCAGCAAAAATCCTGTAGCAGAGGTCACCAAGAGCTTCCCAATTGCCAGTCTTATGAATGAACTCTTCAATTCCTCATCTGAATGATTTTTGTTTTGTTTTGTTTTTGAGATAGAGTCTTGCTCTGCTGCCCAGGCTGGAGTGCAATGGCACGATCTCAGCTCACTACAACCTCCACCTCCCAGGTTCAAGCGATTCTCCTGCCTCAGCCTCCTGAGTAGCTGTGATTACAGGCGCAGGCCACCACACCTGGCTAATTTTTGTATTTTTAGTAGAGATGGGGTTTCACCATGTTGGTCAGGGTGGTCCCGAACTCCTGACCTTGTGATCCGCCCAACTTCGGCCTCCCAAAGTGCTGGGATTACAGGCGTGAGCCACTGTGCCTGGCCTTCAATTCCTCATCTGAATGATTTTATTGGAATTCTAGACAGCTACTAACTCTTTTCTTCTTGAGAAGTTCTCTTCTCTTGGTTTCAGAAACATTGACCTTTCCTGAGATTCCCCTACCTCAGAGGCTATTCTTTCTTAGTATTCTTTGGGGGTTCATCTTCCTGTACTCATCCTTTAAATGTGTTCCCTGAGTTTCTGTCCTCACTATATTCTCCTCACTCCTTACATACCACACATTCACTAGGTGACTTGAACCACTCTGAGCATTTCAACTGCCCTCTATATCCTTAATCACTCCCTAAATCTATTTCTGATAAAGTATAACCCACCTCTTCCTCTGATAGCCCTCTGTAAACCACGAGACATTCTACAGCATTGATCTCTGTGCATATCTGCCTCCCTCTATTAGACTAAAAGGGCAGGCCTAGCGCTTGCTGTCTTTCCAGTATCCAGGACAATACATGGTAGATAACAGGAGCACCACAAATATTTAATAAATAAATAAATGTCGACATACTCAGCATTTATATTTCAAGTTACCTTGTTTTCCTTTACAGAAAGTCTGAGTGGTAATTTCAGATGAAGAATTTCATTCTTTTTCAGGCTTTCATAGCCAGCAACAAAGACTCCTGGAAAAAGAAGCAGAGGTAGCTGTGACAAATTGTTAGAAAGATTGCAGACCATGGATAGGTCTATAAACTCCACCCAATCCCCCAAAGTAAGGATAAATTCCTTCAGTGTGCAGCCTTGTATGGAGGAATTGAGTATCTGGTTTTCTTTTTTTTTTCAGACAAGGTCTCGCCGGGTCAGCCAGGCTGGAGTGCAGTGGTCTGATCACAGCTCACTGCAGCCTCAACCTCCCAGGCTCAAGTGATCCTCCCATCACAGCCTTCGGAGTAGCTGAAATTATAGGCGTGGGCCACCATGCTCGGCTAATTTTTGTAATTTTTGTAGAGACAGGGTTTCCTTGCTCAGGTTGGTCTCAAACTCCTGGAATCAAGCAGTCTGCCCGCTGCCTCAGCCTCCCGAAGTGCCCAGCCTGAAGTTTTTTTTTTTTTTTTTAGACAGTCTCACTGTAAGCCACACTGGAATGCAGTGTCATGATCTTGGCTCACTGCAACCTCCACCTCCTGGGTTCAAGTGATTCTCCTGCCTCAGCCTCCCCAGGAGAGGCTGATGGTGCAGCCTCGCCCAGCTAATTTTTGTATTTTTAGTAGAGACGGAGTTTCACCATGTTGGCCAGACTGGTCTCGATCTCCTGACCTCAGGTGATCTGCCCACCTCGGCCTCCCAAAATGCTGGGATTACAGGCGTGAACCACTGCTCCCGGTCAAAGATCTTAATAAAAGGAATATTAGTGCTGATGGGGCATCAAATTGCTACAAGTGACTCTCAGGTGCCCAGAAGAGTGGGTTGGGTCCCTCTAGGCTTAGCTCCTGAAACCCAGCTCAGGAGTGAAATTCCCTCTCCTTCAGGGCCAAGAAGGTATACCACCTTTGTCATCAATCCATTCAAGGACTCGAGTGGCTCCTGAGAGGTCGAATGCATAGAAATCCTGGTACCTGCACAAAAGGGACATAAAATCACACGATGCACAGCACTTCACAGCTCAGATAACTCCAAGATGGCAGCCGCATGGTTCAGTGGCCCAAGCTCTGGAGTCAGGAAGACGTGGGACCGAGTTTGCTTCGCATTTTACTCCCTGTTTCTGGGACCAGGCCAGTCTGTTGATGTCCCTGAGCCTCTGTCCTCATGTGTGGACCTCCCAGGGTACCCAGATTTCCCAAGGTTGACATGAGGAATCAATGAGGTCATCTGTGTTCTGAGCTGAACTCAGAACTGAACTCCCAAGGTTGACATGAGAATCAATTAGGTCATTTGTGTTCTGAGCTGAACTCAGAGGATGGCGCAAACTAACTGGGCACTGCTTCTTCACAAGCCAGGCTCTCACTAGTAATCTCACAACACGCGCACGCAGGAAGGAGCCATTTCCTAAAGATGGGGGCCTAGGCCCAGGCGGAGTCCTCCGCCGCCGCGAGCCCCGAGGCCACAGCTGGCCCACTGTGCACCAGGATCTGCAACGTGCCTCCACCTGCACCCATCCGCCCGCCAGGCCAGATTCGGGCCCAGCTCCCGTCTCCCAACCCCGCATGATTTACAAGCGCAAGGATTCCACCAGCCAGTCCTCTTCAGGATCCATGGCAACGGCCGCTTCCGGCGTCTCACTTCCGCCTCAGAGCCTTCGGGGCCGCGCGGCTCTCGCGACATGTGGGCAGGGCCTCCCGTTAAGGGCGGGGTCAAGAGGCAGAGCTGCGCCCCAGCCTGGGTGGGTTACGGGTTTTCTTTGCGAAAGCTACGGGAAAGTGACCTGAAATCGGGACTTCCCGGCTGTCAGCTCCGAGCAGGCCTTGAGGACCAAATGATCGCCCGTTTTAGGGCCGGGTGTTTGCAGCCCAAGAGAGGGGCAATCAGTGCTCCAAGGCCAGAAATAATACAGGACCGCCCGGTTAAATTCGAATTTCAGAAAAACGGTGAATAATTTTTTTCCTACGAGTATGTTCATGCAATATTTGGTACATTTTATTAGATAAAATTAATGTTTATCTGAAATTCGAATTTAACTGGGTGTCCAGTATTTTTATTTGCTAACGCTGGCAACCCTACTGACGGCCAGAGAAGACAGAAGGCGGCCGGCAGGGTCTGGATCCCAACTCAGCGCTCCGCTGCAAGCCCGGCGGGAAGATTGAGTCAAGCCCGGCAGTGTAGTGTCTGCAGCCCCCTTTTACTAGCAAAGAAACTAGTGACACTTGCCTGCGGCAGTGGGTGGCAGAGGTGAGAGTAGAACCCGGCGCCTGGCACGAAACCTGGCATACAACAGGCGTTATTTGCTTGCTGAATGAGTGGACGAGTAGGAGTCCAGAGTCAGTGGCAGGCTGGTGCCATGGCATGGAGTATTGTGGACTTTTTGGAGCCAACCCCGTCTCACTGAACACTCTGCCAGCCCCCATTCCCTCCTAGCCCCTAAAAGATGGGTAGAAGGAGAGGACCAGGCATTGTATGTAAAGAGCAAGGTTTTATTCACAAATTCAACATGGAAGCAGGAAATACAGCAGGAACATAATCTGTCTGCATCAGCGATATTTCTGGTGACCCAACCAGAAATCACAGTAATGGAGTAACAGATATTGGGCTCGGGATTTACATCCAGATGGGGCCATCACCAGGGTCCCATTCAGCACCTTCCCTGAGTGGGCACAATCTAAGCCACGCTGTTGTGTCTGTCCCATTATTGGTATCATTTCTGCAGTATTTGTACCAGCAGCCTCCTGTACTGAAGAGAAACATACAGAAGAATTGAGTCAGGGAGGGGCTCCTGATAATGATAGGGGCATCCTGCCATTCCTAAGTGCCAGATGTCTGCAGAGGTGGGCACCGGCAGGCTGTCAGCTGAGGCAGAGCACCCTGAATTGCCTTGGAGGGGTCAGGGGCAATAGTTTTCTCAGAACACAGCCCCAACCACCCAGGGTTGTCATGACAGTCAAAGGAGATCATGGAAGTAAATTCAAGTACAGTGCCTGCTGCTGGGCTAGTGTCAGTGTCCTCACTCCCCCACCCCAACTCTGCCCCAGACCTCACTCTGAAGCCCCAGACCCAGGCACTGCTGCTTCTGAGATTCTCTAGTTGGTCTGCATGTGTCCAAGCTTCAAAACCAAGGGCACTAGAGGTGGTATTGTTTCCCTTCAGACTCAGCCAGCCCAAGCTCCTAGGCCTTACATCTGAGGTCCTTAGGGGCTGCTGGTTCTATGCCTCAGGAAGTCAGGGATGTCAGTTGAGGCTGGGTTGGACCTTTTCTAGGGAATGCCTCTCCCTTCAAAATGCACACACTATATTGTAGGCACAGTGGGGGATATGAAGGCAAGTCCACAACAGGTGCTGCCAGGGAGCTCACAGACTGGTAAGAGCTCCTATTTACTAAGGGCTGCCTATGAGCCAGGCACCGTGCTGAGCATTTGACATAAATGGTCTCATTTAATGGGAGATGGGCCTTATTATTATCTTCATTTTGTGGGTGAGGAATATGAGGCTTTAGAGAAGTTAAGGGGCATTTATAAGGTCACAGAGCTACGAAGTAGCTAGGTTATGAGCCCAGCACATTGTAGTCAGAACCCACATTCTACCACATCACACTGCCTTCTGCACACAGCAGCAGGGCCAGGGAGGGTGGTATGCAGTAAGGACAGCACCAGGAGCAGGGAATGGAGGAGTTGCCACTCAGCTGCGCTAGACCTTAAGGCTGGTTTGGCTCTTCAGCTTTGGAGCCTTGAATCCCATAGATCAGTGATTGACAACCAATAATGATTTGGGGCCCTCTCCCCCAGCAGACATCTGGTGATGTCTGGAAGTCTTTTCAGTTGTCACAACTTGATGGGGGGGGGGGGAAGGTGCTACTGGCATCTAGTGGGTAGATACCAGGGATGCCACTAAACATCCCATGATGCACAGGTCAGCCCTCACAAGAAAGAATGATCCAGCCTAGAATGTCAAACGCACTGAAGTTGCTAAACCCTGCCACTGGATACTGAGGCAGATGAGAGAATGGGAAGAGCTCTGGTCAAGGTGAACAAGGTCCAGACTCTGTCTTGGCTACTGACTTCTCTTTCTCTCTCTGGGCCTCAGGGTCCCAGTTCGGCCACAAGCACACACAGGGCACGGCAAAGGTGGACTTGACTAATGCAGCGGGGAACAGCACCGGTGGGACAAGACTGTGTGGACTGAGGGAGAAAGGTCCTTCTCCAAAAGGCTGATGATCCCAGTCTGTTACTTTAGACTGGGTGATGAGTCAGGGGAACTTCTTTCCCTACTTCTTGCCCCATGGGGTCTGCCAGGAAGGTCAGCTTACTTTCTTTGGACTGTTCCTCCTTTGAGCTCTGCCTCAAGAGGGAAAAGCCTGGAACCCTGGCTTTCTGGGGTCCACACCCATAACGTCCTGGTCAGACAGTCACACCCTAATACAGTACTGGGTGGTAATTCCTCCCATGCAGGATCCAGGGATGGCCCCAGCTGGGCCCTCCTGACACTGGAGTGGGGGGCTGGCTCACCTAGATGTGGGGTGCGGGGTGGCTGAGGCTCACGCCCAGAGCCTTCTTTAGCAGGAGGATCCTGAGCAGATCATGACTCAGCTGCAGTCTCTGGTCCCTCAGGGAGGTGTGGGGAGCTGTCCCCAATGGGGATGGGCTGGGAGGCTCCAGACTCTTCTTGCCCATGAAGTGACCTAGAAAGGAGGTGTCCGGCACAAGGAAGTCAAGCAGGGAGGATCCTACCTCAGGGGGAAAGTTCCTCATCTCTCCCACGTTTCCACTGTTGTGGCAGGAAGATACTTAACCTTCCTGTTCTTGGTCCTTCCACCTCACCAAGTAGCCACAAAGGTGTCTGGGTGGTGGCAAAGTCTGCTCCCTCAGCTTTTCCTGAACAGGTAGAGAGGATGACACAGCTGGAAGGAGGGTGGGATGGTCCAGGGTCAGGGAGAAACTCTGCTACTTGTGTGGCCTGCTTGGACAAGGGACGAGAAAGGGCAGGGTAGGAAGTGGAGAGTGAAGCCAGGTGCCTGGAAAGTGGAGGTGCAGCAAAACCACATCAGCGGTTAGAAGATTCAGTAAAGTCTTGCCTAAGGTAAGGGGCACGGGCTGGCAGTGGGATTTAGGATCTAGCCCAGCCCTGTCTTAAACTGGCTGCGCGACCTTAGCCAAGTCACTGACCTGTCCAGGTCTCAAGTTCACATCTATTAAATTAGATGAGCCCCAGGGTTTCCCACCTGCTCCGACACTAGTGTCCGTGGCTGAGGAGCGGCCAGAGGGTTGAGAAGGAAATGGGATCTGAGTAGGATGAGGGGCACTTGCTTGCCCGGTCCGCGAAGACTTACCGGTGGCCCAGAGGTTGCCCCGCGGGTGCACTCGGATCTTGCCGGCTCGGTTGCGGGGCTCCGGGAGATCCCAGCTGAGCGGGGCGACGTCGGCAGCGAGCAGGGCAAAGAGCAGTAGGCTGCTGAGCAGCCGAGCACCCCCCACCCGCCGGGCCATGGCTGTGCCAGGGCAGCAGCTCCGTTCCGGCGCGCTTCCCGGCCGCTCGGCTCCCGGGCTGCCTTCGCTCCTTTTAAACCCGCGCCCCTGGGGGCGGAGCCTGCCCTGAGCAGCCAAGCAGTGCTGCGTGCCCGCCGCCCTCCCCACCCTCACGCTAGGTTACCGGGCAGGGGCACCCCTTTTGGGTCGCCCATAGACTTGCACACCCACACTCTGAACCGCACGCGGGCACCGCTTCCGCCAGGGGCTTCTGGCTGAAGCTCACCACTTTCAGGCTAAGGACCGGGCACAAGGCACCGGGCAAGCAGGAGCCCGGCCCCGGCGGCAAAGCTGCTTCCCCTGGCCTTGCCTTGCCACTGTCCCACGGCTTTCTCAGCCCTCTGAGCCTCTCTTCATGAGGGTAGAGGTCGGGCGAGGGGTTCTCCTCCCCGGTAGCAGCCTTTTTTTTTTTCTTTTCTTTTTCTTTTTTCTGAGACAGGATCTGGCAGTATCGTGCAGGTTGGAGTGCGGTGGCGCGATCACGGTTCACTGCAAACTCAACCTCCAGGGCTGGGCTCAAGCCTCAGCCTCCCCAGAAGCTGGGACCACAGGCACACGCCTTCATGCCTGGCTTCCCGCCCCCCGCCCCCGAGAGACTGGGTGTCGCTAGGTTGCCCAGGCTAACAGAGGCATTTTTACAGTGTCCAGCCAAGTGCTAGGCACCAAAGGACTTCCATAAACTAATCCCCATCACCTCCGCCCGTTGGGGGAATCTGATCCGTGTTCACCTTGCTCTCTGCCCCCTCACAGCCAGCACCACAGTCTGGCAATGTTCTGGTACACAGTAAGTGCTCAGGATGGGAATGCAGACTGATGAAGGGTGGGACAAAGGGCCGCTTCTGAGGAATGGGCATCCAGCTGCAGGGCCTGGCTTATGGGCAGGAAGCCGACCTCTGGGTCAAGGAAGTGGAAAGAGCACTGCACCCAAGACTGCACTGCACCCAGGAGTCCATGTACAAGCTGTGACCCGGCTGAACCTCACTTTCTTCAACTGTAAAATGGTAATAACCACACTGCCCTAATTTTTTTTTACATGTTTTAGCATACGTACTCTGTGGCAGGAAGCAACAATCCTGTAGGACCTGCCCTCTCACATCTGACACTTTGTTCTCCCCAGGAGCTGTCTGGACTTCCTTGGAAAGAACTTCTTGATCAGTGGCATCATATAATGAGCAGAGGAAGACACTGTGCTCCAGAATAATACATTTATGTTTGCTTAATTAACTGAAACTCATTGTTCAGAGCACTACACTAGACACAAGAAGAGGGGTGACAGATAATTCCCTGCTCCCAAGGGAGTTAACCATCTCCTTGGAGAGACAAGTATACAAAGGAGAGAGTGATGGAGGAGCAGGGCGCAGACCACCCCTTGGACTCTGGATACCTCTGGAACACGGAACAGCATGGCTATGCCAGAACCTACTCCCATCTGGCTTGATAATAGGACCTGCTTCTAGGACTCTTGCTAGTATCTAGCTCAGCAAAGTTGCTAGCTCTGTGGATCCCCATCCTAAAAGGGGAAGCTCACATGAAAAACTGGCTGCCATGCCCAGCTGGAGGCCCAGCGTCCAGGAGCATGACACACAGGACAGGGACGTTTCATTTCTGGCCCTGGCTTTCCCCCCAATCTCTGTGCTTCTCACCTCCCACTCTGGCATTTACACCTCTCTGCTTTCTTGTCACAGCTTAGCCATGGTGTACAGATATAGCTCTTATCACCTTCCGGTAATCATTCCTTTGTGACCCCCTCCCCTCTCCTCTGCATCCATCAAGCCCCCATCCTATCTTCTCTAGTCCATGGATATAGAAATTAGAGTGAACACACAGAAGCTGGTATTGATTGAGTGCTGCATCACTTAAATGCTTGAAGGAATCTTATTTGGTAGGTTTCTCTCTTCTCATTTGGTAGGTTTCACTCTCCTCATTGTATAGGGGGGAACGAGCTAAGAGGTTTAGCCACTTTCCCAGACATCCCACTGGAATCAGATTTCAGGTCTGTCTGGACCACTGCATCAGGCCCCCAAATCTATGCAGCGCAGATACAACTCTCCTTAAACTACACTCACTCCCATTGTACCATCTCAAATTTCAACACCAAGTTGGGTTTCGATATCTCAGGAGGGAGAGGGAGCAGGCACTGCATTTCCAGTTTCACCTCTCTTCCACAGGTGACTGGACCTTGAGTTCTGCTAAGTTTATACTTAAGCCAAGCTTCCTCTGGCACAGCCTGGGTTCACAGCTGCAACCACAGCTCTGAGGCTGGCCCCAGGCACCCTTGGGACCATTTGATCTGTCAGCCTACTACAGAAAAAAAAGGGGGGGGGGGCTCTGAGGACCCTGGAGAAAACAGCAGGGGAGCACCTCCACAGACTTAGGAGCACTCACTTTACCTTAGGGAAAAAAATGGGAGGCACAGGGGAGAAGGTGGCTTGCTCAAGGGAGTGCTAGGCTCTGAGTTTAGCATGAAGACCTCAAATGCCAACTGCCTGTTCCCTAAGTCCACTCTGGTGGCAAGAGAAGTCCAAAGGCCTCCACTCCGTGGGGAAAGGCTAGCATTGAATTGAATGGTGGTACATGGGGAAGCTCTTCAGAACCCACTCTTGACCCTCCTATGATTCTACAACATTCAAGGACATGCACAGAAAATGTGAGGCAGGTTCACAAAACAACCCATGGGGTAACTAAAAGGGTGAAAGATACATGGCAAATCCTATCATACCTAACACCAGGAAAACATTTAAAGTGCACCAAGTTTTTTAATAATAAAATTGCTTCATCAAAAATGGATATGGGGCCGGGCATGGTGGCTCAAGCCTGTAATCCCAGCACTTTGGGAGGCCGAGACGGGTGGATCACGAGGTCAGGAGATTGAGACCATCCTGGCTAACACGGTGAAACCCCGTCTCTACTGAAAAAAAAAAAAAAAAAAAAAAAAAAAAAAAAAAAAACTAGCTGGGCGAGGTGGCAGGCGCCTGTAGTCCCAGCTACTCCGGAGGCTAAGGCAGGAGAATGGCGTGGACCCGGGAGGAGGAACTTGCAGTGAGCTGAGATCCGGCCACTGCACTCTAGCCTGGGCTACAGAGCGAGACTCTGTCTCAACACACAAAAAAAAAAAAAAAAAAAAAGGATGGATATTACAGCCGGGAGCCGGGGCTCACACCTATCATCTTAGCACATTGAGAGCCTGAGATGGGTGGATCACTTGAGGTCAGGAGTTCGAGACCAGCCTGGCCAATATGGTGAAACCCCATCTCTACTAAAAATACAAAAATTAGCCAGGTGTGGTGGCATGTACCTGTAGTCCCAGCTATGCAGGAGGCTGAGGCAGGAGAATCACTTAAAACTGGGAGGTGGAGGTAGCAGTGACCTGAGATCATGCCACCACACTCCAACCTGGGCAACAAAGTGAGACTCTATCTCAAAAAAAAAAAAAAAAGAATATTACTCCAGTCTACATACAGAAAAAAGAAAAGAATAATTATTTATTATTTATTAAATAAATATTTTTATAAAAATAGAAAGATAATTTTTAAAATAATGGTAAAAATAGCTTGAAATAAAGGACATAAATATATTAATGTTTTTGCTATATTTTCATTACATTGGAATTGATTACGAGTAACACCTTTTCACAATTCAATCTTTTTTGTGGTTTTCCAAAAGTCCTTACCTGCATGCTCCCTTGATCCTCCCATTGCTTCGTTATTACACCTATTTTACAGATGAGTTATGTCTCTTTTATAGATGAGTTAACTCAAGTACAAAGCATGTTAATTTCAGAGAAATTAAACAAATGGAGAAAGCCAGAGTGTATACTTCAAACACATGAGAAGTACAGAGGACAACAGAGAAAAGGAAAAGCAGGTCAGGAGCAGTGGCTCATTCTTGCAATCCCAGCACTTGGAAGGCTGAGGTGGAAGAATCGCTTGAAGCCAGGAGTTCAGGACCAGCTTGGGCAACATAGTGAAGCCCGGTGTCTACAAATAAAAAATAAAAAAATTACCTGAGTATGGTAGTATGCTCCTGTAGTCCCAGCTTCACAGGAGGCTGATGGGAAGGACTGCTTGAGCCCAGGAGTTTGAGGTTGCAGTGAATTGTGATCCTGCTACTGCACTCTAGCCTGGGCGACAGAGCAAGATACTGTCTCTTTTTTCTTTTGAGACGGAGTCTCGCTCTATAGCCCAGGCTGGAGTGCAGTGGCGCGATCTCGGTTCACTGCAAGCTCCGCCTCCGGGGTTCAGGCCGTTCTCCTGCCTCAGCCTCCTGAGTAGCTGGGACTACAGGCGCCCGCCACCACGCCCAGCTAATTTTTTGTATTTTTAGTAGAGACAGGGTTTCACCGTGTTAGCCAGGATGGTCTCCATCTCCTGACCTCGTGATCTGCCTGTCTCAGCCTCCCAAAGTGCTGGGATCACAGGCGTGAGCCACCGTACCCGGCTGACACTGTCTCTTAAAAAAAGAAAAGAGGCCGGGTGCGGTGGGAGGCCGAGGCGGGCAGATCATCCGAGGTCAGGAGTTTGAGACAAGCCATGGCCAACATGGTGAAACCCCATCTCTACTAAAAATACAAAATTACCTGGGTGTGGTAGCCCATGACTGTAATCCCAGCTACTCAGGAGGCCAAGGCAGGAGAATCGCTTGCACCTGGGAGGTGAGGGCGGCAGTGAGCCAAGATCGCACCACTGCACTCCATCCTGGGCAACAAGTGCAAAACTCCGCCTCAAAAAAAAAATAGGGGGAGGGGGAAGAAAGGAAGAAAGAAAGAAGGAAAGAAAGAGAAAATAAATGACAGGAAACCTAGGGTTGTCACAACAGGATGTGTAAAACAGGGGTGTTCAATCTTTTGGCTTTCCTGGGCCACACTGGAAGAAGAGGAATTGTCTTCAGCCACACATAAAATACACTAACATTAATGAGAACCAATAAGCTAAAAAAAAAAAAATCACACACAAAATAATCTCTTACTGTTTTAGGAAAGCTTACGAATTTGTGTTGGGCTACATTCAAAGCTACCGGGCCGCATGTGGCCCGAGCGCTGCAGGTTGGACAGGCTTGGTGTAAAATCTCTATTTTGGCAAATCTTTGAGCACAATCTCCAACTGTATGGGCTGGGGAGATGAAGAGAAACATCCTGGGATATCTCAGGTCCTACTCTTTACTTTCAGAGTGAAGAAGGGACCAGAGAACCAGGAAAACAGCAGAATCTTTAGGGGAGAATCAAGGATATTGGATACAATTTCTTAAACTCAGAGGGAACACATAGGGATTAGTTATAAAATCAGAACAGTAACCTCAAAAGGGAAATCTTTCGTAAATCAAAATTGCCAAAATATGAAACATTTTCTTTTTCTTTTTCTTTTTTTGAGACAAGGTCTCGCTCTGTTGCCCAGGCTGGAGTGCAATGGCATGATTTTGGTTCACTGCAACCTCTGCCTCTCAGGCTCAAGCAATTTTCCTGTCTCAGCCTCCACTGCGCCTGGCTAACAAAATGTTTTCTTAAAGGCAATATTTAAAAAAGAGAAAATACCTACACCTAATGAGAACCTGATCATGACTGCAATGGTGGCTAAAAAACAAAGGCTGCTGATCAGCTAACTGGTGCAGTACTCAGGAAAGCTACGAAAACCTAAGGAAGTGAGAAGCCCAGGCCCAGCATTCTTAATTATTTGGGTGTAATATTCATGTATGTTAGGGGACATTTCTGTAACTGGAATGAATACTCTTTAATCTCCAAAGAGGTTTAAATGCTTGGAAATCTGCCAGAGAATCTCACTATTTCTAAGAGACTTACTAATAATCTGAGCAAATCTGCACAAGAAAAACCTAGAGTCTCTAAAGAATTCCCAAGGGCTTTGCAATTGTGGAATTTATTGCAAATAAAAGAATTTCAATAGACTTTACAAAGGTAAAAGAACTGGGTTATGACATCCAGCATTGTGACATGGTAAAAGCAACAGACTTCAAATCTGGCTCTGCCATGCATGGACCAGAAGACCCTGGACAAATCCCTTAACTTCTCCTGGTTTCTTTTATAAAATGAAGGTCATATAGAAGGTTCATTAGATAGAGAAGGTAAAAGCTGTTATAAACTATAAAGCACTTAGCAGAGCTCCTGGCATATTCTAAATACTCACTATTATTAGCTGGACCTGGAAACGCAAAGCCTGCTTTAAATATGAAGCCCATCTCAGAGGGGGAAAAAGTTCCCTGGATAACAGCTATGGTGTTGACACAACAGTGCCTGACTCCGGCAAAATGCCTATTACATCTAAAATTGATCAACTAAAATGTCAGCCCATCTACCTCAACTCTTGACCAATTCCAAGAAAAAGGATTCTACACAGCATTCTATTTTGGCTTAAAAAGTTGTCAGGCTGAGAGCTTTGATCAAAGCTTGATGCTAGCCAATTTACTTACTTGCCTGACATTAAGTCTAGTTTAAATTCTTCTAGACTCCTTGAATTAAATCTGGAATATAGCTTACCAATCTAAGTAGACAGGCCAATTAAAGTAACAATTTCAGAGAAATGATTCTTAATCAAGGGTAGGTGGGGCTGGGTGTGGTGGCTAACGCCTGTAATCCCAGCACTTTGGGAGGCCGAGGTGGGTGGATCACCTGAGGTCAGGAGTTCAAGATCACCCTGGCCAACATGGTGAACCCCTATCTCTACTAAAAATACAAAAATTAGCTGGGTATGGTGGTGAGCACCTGAATCCCAGCTACTTGGGAGGCTAAGACAGGAGAACTGCTTTAACTCAGGAAGCGGAGGTTGCAATGAGTGGAGATTGCTCCACTGCACTCCAGCCTAGGCAACAGAGCGAGACTCGGTCTCAAAAAAAAAAAAAAAAGAAAAAGAATAGGTGGAACTTGGGCACAGTGGCGCACACCTGTAATCCTCACACTTTGGGAGGCCTAGTGGATCCTGAGGTCAGGAGTTTGAGACCAGCCTGGCCAACATGGTGAAACCCTGTCTCTACTAAAAATACCAAAAAATTAGCTGGGCATGGTGGCACGTGCCTGTAGTCCCAGCTTCTTGGGAGGCTGAGGCAGGAGAATCACTTGAACCCAGGAGATGGAGGTTGCAGTGAGCCAAGATTGCTCCACTGCACTCCAGCCTAGGCGACAAGAGTGAAACTCCGTGTCAAAAAAAAGAAACAGTAGGTGGAATTTCAGAAATGCCTAAGATTGGTAGAACAAGGATAGGATATATAGCTTGAAAGTCATATTCAATATAATAATAATTGTATATGGGAAAGAAGTTATTATTGTTTCTATAATACAAACTTAAGAGAAAGCAAGATCAAATACTCTTGGCTGATGAGGATAAGAGGTTGAATATTATAGACTGGCGTGGTGGGAGAGTGTTTCTCAGAATGAAGAGGAAGTATGAGATTTTTGTTTCCCAAAAGAGGCCATGAGTTTTAAGATTAAGGAACGCTGTTCTACAGGAAAGTTGAAGATTCCTGGTTTAAATGGGTAGTTGGTCTTTTGTGAAGTAGCTTTTCTGCAGATGTTGCCAAACTATACCTACACTGAGGAACATTCTCTGAAATAGCTCTATCATTAGGCTAGAGGAGTTTTTTTTTTTTTTTTTTTTTTTTTTGAGATGGAGTCTCGCTCTGTCACCCAGGCTGGAGTGCAGTGGCCGGATCTCAGCTCACTGCAAGCTCCACCTCCCGGGTTTACGCCATTCTCCTGCCTCAGCCTCCCGAATAGCTGGGACTACAGGCGCCCGCCACCTCGCCAGGCTAGTTTTTTGTATTTTTTTAGTAGAGACGGGGTTTCACCGTGTTAGCCAGGATGGTCTCGATCTCCTGACCTCGTGATCCGCCCGCCTCGGCCTCCCAGAGTGCTGGGATTACAGGCTTGAGCCACCGCGCCCGGCCGGCTAGAGGAGTTTTTGTAAAAAAAAAAAGTCATGCAGCATGC